TCTCTTTTGAAACATCCAGAAGTATGGTAGGGTAATACTACAATGCTGGAGAGTCACTTTAACAGAATAACATTGTTACAAGTGAAAAAAAAAATCATTTTAAAAGAAAGATTATTGTTTTGTCCAAAAGAAATGAAATCAATAAAAGTTAATTTGCTTCTTCTCCCAAAGGAGTTTTTTTCACAGGGAGGTCAGAGGTCACACTCACAGCCACAAAGCAGCACATCTGAAACTGGCAGATGTTCAGTGTTTTGCTCAAGGACATTTCAGCATGATGAATGGGAGTTCAACGATATCACGGGTAGTTCCTGCAAGCAACATGTAGTTGCTAAAAACAAGCACCTGTCCTTGATTCTATTTTTAGTCAGTGAAAATTGTTCCTATTTCAAATCTGGCCAGTCATCTTTTATGTCACCACATTTGCAGCTTTCACCCTGAGCTGTTAGCAGGCATTTAGCAAACCAGATATCGTGCAAATGGATGCTTCTACTGCCATCACTACTGTTTACTTTGGCATCAATCAGACTCCTGCAATTATTGTCTCTCTGCTGTCTCCCATTTTGAATGCACTCAGCTGAGCTGACGCTGTGTTGACAGAGTGGCCTGAAATTAAAGAGAAACTCCAGCCAGCAGGCTTTCAGCTAGTGGCCTACTGCTGGTCTGCAAAGCCACACCTACTGTATCAGCTGGCTGCCTTTGATTCTCAGTCCAGTGTGGTGGATGCCTCATCCACAATGTTAACCACAAAAACAAACTGTGCCATGTCCTAATCTATTAGATTTTTCTCTCTGGGAAGCTGTGAATCTCTCCAGAAATTAATTTTGAAGAGCAAAGATGATGAGCAAAGTATCCCAGATGTGAATCTGCAGCCTATATTTGAATACAATGACATTATAGGAAAGTTCTGCTGAGCTAAAATGATATGACGACCTACATAAGCATCAGTTATGTGTTACTGATAAACTTTACAACCCAGAAATATTTTTATAAGCAGATTTTGGTGCCAGATAAGGGATGCGATGAGGATAATACACTCAATTATTCACAAGGCAAGAAATAAATAATTAGAGTCCATGCTTATCTCATAACAGTGAGGAGACATGCATAACAAACACTCCCCCTGACGCTGTGAGATTGTACTGAAGCAGTTCGTGGTTTCCCAGAGACGCAGTTTGGCAGAGCGCAGCGCACCGCGGAGCGCGCAGCTCCGGACGCACCTGAACAGTCCAGTGAGCTGGAAACAGCCTTTCACCTGCTCCGAGCCGCGCACACGCTCCTCTGCAACATCTGCCACGTCGTCTCTGATGGAGACAGAGGGACAGTGTAACGGAGTCTTATTGGATGTGGAGTGACAAGTATACCCCCGTTTGGCGTCTCCCCATGGACCAAACGATCCTTTTTGGGGGATCGCCAGACGTTTAAACGCGTTTAGTATTTTGAACGTTTAAAAGCGGCGACTTTAGGCAGGCTTGGAAACTCCGTGCGGCGTGTGAGCTCCGTGTTTTAATTGTACTACAATGTCCCAGACCGTCTGCGTGGAAAACTTAAAGGCATGCTGCATATTGAGGGCTGCGAACGCGCTGAGAGCGAGCTGAGACAGATGGACACAAGCCCGACAACACACTGGGTAAGTCTGGCAACTATAGGATCTGTGTCACACTGCTGCTTGTTTTTGTTTTCTTTAATAAAGCCACTAAGAGCTAGAAATTGCCAAATGAATTGAAGCCATAACGAGCAAAACAATATAAATACTGAACACACAGTGGATCCAAGTCTGTTATAATAAAAGCACAGTCTATCCCCCCATTTTTTCTGTTTCATACAGTGACAAACTTCTCCAATGTATTTCTAATATCCCATTGGTTCCCTATAGGGGGTAGTACAGGGGATACAGAGGCTAATGGTTCTCAATTAATGTTTTCATAATGTCCTGGTGGTATTTTCTATTTAATTTCTAATTTCTAATGTAATTGTAAAGTCCTATAATGTTCCTGATGGGACTCTGAGTTCTTCCAGAAGTGTTCTTGTGGAATATTATGTTATAATATGTAATATAGTATTACACTACTGCTATGTGGAGCATTACAGGAGTAATATAGGCTGTTCCCTTTTATTTAGGGATATCTCCTTCTTGCATATTAAATGAGCTCCTGTCACCACCTTTGCTTTATGTGCAGGCTTTTGACTCCCAACACTGCTCTACTTTAAATTTGATCAAATTTGTGTGGTAGCTGCTCCCCCTCATCAGACAAACCAGAACATTCTCCATGGATGGTTGGATCTGCCTGTCAATATTTAAGTAAAAAAAACGCAAATAGATGAGAAGCTTTTAAAACAGCTACTCCTCTTACTTTCTTGTATGGATTGTCCATATGTACATGTCACTGCCTCCCTGTGCCGGGATCATTAACCTGTTGATGTGTGGAGAGATGGATGCTCGTGTCTTCCTGTGCAGTAAATTCACGTATGAAAACACACACCACTGGGCCCTTGCAACCATAGAGAACAAGCTATAATGAGAACAGACTGTCGCCGAATATGGCAGCGCGTTCTCCATCATAGGGGTTTTCAACATGTTGTGCATCAGGTTTGCCTTGCAACTGAATACCACAGCAGCTCATTTCACTCATTAGTCCTCCTCCTCTGTAGCTGAAGGTGAGCTAATGGGAGCAAAGTGTTTGGTGGGCAGAGAACCGGCAGACTCGAGATAGAAAGACACTGCTCTACTTTTTGTTTATGCAGAGGAACATAATGAGAAGGTAAAATAGAGAAAAGAGATGTGACACATTCTTCATGTGTTTGAAAGTAGGCGGCTGTTGTTCTTTTTTGTATTCTGCTGTGATCTCTAAACTCTCCGTCCTAATAACTGTGCCTCCACACAAGCATCGCAGTCTCCACTTTCAAGCTCACCATCAAATAGATCCTTTCCCTTCCAGCAATTTCTTCAGCCCATTATCTCCTTCTCCCTGTCTCACACGTTTTTTAATTCCAGCCCTTTGAATCAACTGATTGACGCTGTCAAGCTCGAAGTGCAGGTTTCATTTTCAATTAGAGACTGTCACGGCACTTCTGAAACTTCTGACAAGCAGTACTGATGTGAAGTGTGATAGACTGAGTATTAAGTACTGAAGTCTCAAGCAGTGGCGCATGCACATGATGTATTTTGGGGGAGCCCGTGCAAAAATTAGAACTTTCCCCAGAAAAACTTACTTATACAGACTTAAAGGAACAGACTGTCGGATTCAGTGGCATCTAGTGGTTAAGTTGCAGACTGCAACCATTTTAAATACCTCTCGCCTTACAAGTGTATACGTGAAACTAGGGGGGCTTATTAAAAAACATGCCAAGCACACAAAAGGCCCTATGGAGCCAGTGTTTGGTTCTGGGCTACTGTAGAAACATGGTGGTTCAACATGGCGGACCCTGAAGAAGAGGACCTGCTCCCTCTGTAGATAACTATGGCTCATTCAAAGATAACGAAAACACAATGATTCTTATTTTCAAGTGAATATTATATTCCATTTCTGCCAGGGGGATCTATTGGCAGAAATGGATCCTCCTAAATGTCACACCGGACCTGTAGTGGTGCATCAGAGACTTTACCCCGAAAAAACCTCACAGCAACATTTGAGGGGCCCCAAGATGACATGTTGTTAAAAACACAGACCGAAAGCATGGGATGTGATAACTTGCACACTTTACTCTAAATAAGTAAGCCCGCTGGCTCTGTAGCCTTAAAACTTGTCCAGTGAAAGTAAATGCTTCCAGTCCACAAAAAGCTTTCTGGAAAATGGCCTGACAGTTTGGCAGGGGGATGCACATTTTACAGAAACTCACATTCTTAGTTAAGCTCTATTCCATGTCCGTACACTTCGATGAGAAGCACCCTGACTTTCCGTTCTCGACTGTCCACGGATCTAGTTGTGAGGAAAGTTCATCAAGTTCACATAAATTGACTGGGAGAAAGAGCTACAGTTAGGTTGTAGCTAGCTAGCTAGCTAGAAGCCATGCTAACCTCGTTATGGGTGAAGTGAAGAACTGGGCCGGCAGACTCGGCCGCTGAAGGCAATAGTGTTAGTTCCTCAACTCTTGGTCGTTGTTGTTTTCTTTTTATAGCACATTAGAGAACAGTGTTTAGCTAGTGCTTTAGCATCATCATCATATAGCCTCAAACACTGGCTAGCTTGCTGGCTGAAGGCAGGACTCTCTGAACAACAGGAACTACATTCCATACACTTCCCAAAACTTGTTTCAACAGAATACAGAAGACAAATTCAACATATTTATATTTATATTTATATTTATATTTATGGTTACAAAATGTATTATGGGAGCAGCTTGGTAGCCTAATGGTTACCCTTATGCCACACAGCTGTTTGATTCCAGCTGCTGACCACTCTCATTCTCTCTCCATCATAAAGACAAAAAAACAAAAATAAACACAAAACAACTTGGCCCCTTATTGGCTTTACATCTGGTTTCCAGTGTGTTAAAATCTCCTAATAACTAATAACCAATTATACAGCACCAAAAATGAACATGTCCTAGTTCATTTTTAAGCTTTTAAGTTATTGGGCTTTTGGGTATAGAAGTCTTGTCTACTCGGATCAACCCATTCAGCCCATTTATAATTCATACTTTAGAAACCAGGCCTCGATGTTTTGCCATTTTTCAATTATGTACATTGTAAATTGAATCTGTAATAAAAGCATCTTTTCAGAGAGACAAAACCTGGCTGGTCAACGAACTCATCAGTTTTTGTGACTCAGAATCTAAAATGTGCTCTCCGTCTCAGCCCCCATCCCCCCACCACCGACTATAGCTTATGTGATTATGTTGTGACAAGTACTCTTTCCATGATTAGCTCAAGAGAGACGTTTTGCGTCATTTAGATTATAAAATCGCTTTCTCTCTGCTGAGTGCTTCTGCAGGCGATAAACTTAATTGTCCTCATATTTTTGAGTACAGACTGTCACTGACAAAAGTCGCTCTGAGGAGGGCCAATCAGTCTGATTTAGCAGCAGGTCAGGTGATAGTTCAGTGTCATTCAAGATCTCTGTGCCCCAAAATAGACCTCTGCCTCAGGCCTTTTATGAAGAGAAGATTGAGTGGATGAGGGGAGGGAAATGTATCAGTGAGGCATGGGCTGCAGATTTATGCAAAGAGGCATGTAAATTATATTTGCATGAGCAACTGGTGGTAAAAGAACAACACAGAGTTCAACAGTACTCCATCATCTTCAGTCACTGTTTCTGAGGAAAGAAGGAAAGAAGGGGGCTGCCAATCAACAGTATTTATTAAAAGAAGCACCTTTAGCCTTCAGCTTTGTGAAAATGAAACAGGGATAGGTTCCAAAAGCCTCTTGTGTTGAGGATGAAAGGAAAGAACATGACTTCATGTGCTGTACTCACCCCGCTTAATGAGGGTGAGCGGGATGTAAAGTGCTTGAAATTACTTTTTACGTTTTTTACTTAACATCGCATGTAATATGTAAATTGCATTAATGGCCTGGTTTGAAACATTAGGAAATTGTGTGTAAACATGTAACTTATATTTGTTTTTTTACTGACTTACTAACATAATATAAAAATTTGGGACCCCTCCCAAGCCGGCTGAATGTAGATATAAGGGCATTGGATAAACTGACCCCGTATTCCAAAAATGTTCTTTTCTAAACTTTCACAAGAAATTACTACACTTTCTTAACCTTCAGCGAACAATTGGTATTACTTTTACATTTTTGTCGGTCTGTGCTCCCTCAGAAACAGTCCAAAAATACATAACTGTGGGCACACAGGTATTTCAGAAAGGATTATTTTAAATAGGACATTCACTGCATTTTTAAAAATAACTGCTATCGGCCCAACATGAAGAAGTAATATTCAGATATAGATGCATAATCCACTTGTTTTGCAAAACTCTGAACCTGCATGACGTAGACTGAATTGAAGCTGTGAGATTTAAAGAATCTACACCCCAACAGCCCACCTACACAGGTGTTTTTACTTATTTTGCCTGAAGAGACGTCTTCTCAGGACTGTGCAGACTGTGCTGCTGATTGACGTCTTGCTCACTCTCCTGTTGCACCGATGGATGCGTGATTTAGAACCTGGCTACGACACGGCTGCTCAGCCTTGCTTCCAATTTGAGGTGTCTGTAAAACAGTTGGACACCCCAAACTGCAATGGTCAATTATGACACTTTTTATCATGAACTTTTGATCCATGGAGGTTTTATATTTGTATAATTTCCTTCGAGCTGAGAAAAGCAATTTAATAATCTGTGACATCATCACAATGTAAAGTTTATGGGTTGAGTGGGAACTCGCAGCTGGGGAGGAACTCTAATGTGCATATTCCGTTGGCCAAATACCGGGAAGTAAACCTGGAAGCTAGAAAAAAAAAGTCATATGCACCAGGCGGGCAATTTTCAATGGACTCAACAGGCGCCATCTTTGCATCCGATATCTAGTTCTAAGTACATCCATGGTTGCACTGTCTGTGCATTCTTCTTCCACGTCAATATCTGGTGCCGACATTACCTACAATGCAACTCGACCACCGATAGTTTGGTCAGAGATTCAGCTGTGTTATGCTAGTAGCTGCTAATGAATAATAATATCATTTTCAAACTTTCAGCCCCAGTCGACGCTGACTCGTGTGACATCACTTGAGGTCATTTAACAGACTTTGTATAGCTTCCTGTAGTGCCCCTTTGTACAAACCCCTTAAAAGCACAGATTCTGACATTCTTCAATACAGATTTGAGATAAACAATGTTCTATAAATATGAAGCTATAGCGCAGAGACATAGCTTAGCTTCACATAAAAGCTGGAGGCAGGGGAAACAGGTAGCCTGACTCAGTTCTTAGATTAATACAATCCGCCTTCCAGCACTTCTAAAGCTAACACCAACAGTTTTGTGAAGAAAATAGTCCAACCAAGACTTTAGTTTTTGTACGGATTAAACAGATTAGATATAAGGAGTTGGTGAGTTTTAGAAGTGCTGGTAGACATATTTTGTTACCTTTGGACAGAGCCAGAGCAGCTGTTTCCCCCTGCTTCCAGTCTTTATGCAAAGCTAAGTTAACCATCTAGTGGCTGTAGTGTATTCTTCTTATCTAACTCTCAGCAAGAAAGTTAATTTAAAAGAAAAGTCACAAAACATTCTTTCCTTTCTTTTAATGAATACTAAACATACAAAAGTAAACATACATACATTTAAGATTTTAATGAGTCAGTAAGCCTTATTTGACTTTTTGCTCCTTTGTGGAGCTCCTATATAATTTGAATTCATTCTCTCTGTGCTCCTAAAGCCACCCCTGGGTGCAGTGTCATGCTCAATAAACTGCTCCTGCCAGAAGCACTTTGCTGAGTCGCTGTAGAGGTGCTGCTCTCTGACCGCCTCCCTCGGAGAAAGCGGCCTGTTTCAAAATGATTGGCCGCGCAATAGAAGAGCAAACTCTGAGGATAGCTAGAGGGGTCCCACTCTTAATTTGTTGTGATCATGCGCCCAGCCACCGTACATCAACTCTACTGCCTCAGGTCCAGCACAGTCATTCTTAGTGAGGATCACTGGCATGTTGCTGTACTTGCAGACTTTGTTCTCTGGATTGTGTACCCAGATGCCCATGTTAAGAAATGTCTCAGCTTAAGACAAAATGGCTTCAGAAATGTGTAATTGAAACTAAATAGCTTTTTTCAGAGGATGTGAAAAGAGTCAATCTACACAGACTGATTTTACTGTTTGATCAGAGAGTGATGATTCAGCAAACACAGCAGGCAGTCAGACAATGCATGATGAAGTCAAAAACTTGTAGAACTTAGTCTAGACCACTGTAGAACCCTGCTGTTTTCTTAATCTTTTCTTAATGCTCCCACCCACAGCAAAGTCAAAACAAAAGGCTGCCGCAAGATTTGAGTTGGGTCCCATGAGACCCAGGATCCCAATCCTAATGCAGTTCTCTTGACCATGGCACCCATTCAAATGCTATACAATATAACCTGCAATACAACATCGAATACAAACAGATGCTAATCTTTTTTTATTATATTATAATATATCAATCGATCAATATCAATTCTAAATCACTCAGAATAAAGAAGAATAAAACTCTAAATCCAAAAATATGCTAATATGTTACATGTATTTCTTTCCTGGTTTTGTTCAAAATTAAAACTAGCTTGTATTTATGGTGTACAAGGACAAACAAACAAAACAAAACAAAAAGCATTTTAATGGGACATGTGTGCCTACTGTTCATGTGGGGAGAGAAAGCACAACCAACTGACAGGTGCTTTTTCATGTATGCCAGGGACGAGAGACCCACATCACACATATATGATATTGAGAATGCACAATACCACAGTGAATGCTGTATTGGACAACAATCTGTCTTCTACAACCAGTTAAAACCTCTATGTTAAGCCATTTGCTGAGCAGTTTTAAGTCTGATTTTAGTTTTGTTAATCAGCTCAGATTAATTCATCTCAGACTGTTTTGAGGAAAGCGTGTTGAGTTACTATGACAACTGGCAACCGTGAGTTGTCATGCCATTAGCAGCAGCAGCATAACTGCATAATAAACAGAGTTTTTAATATGGTAATTGCGAAATGTATGGTTTTATTTTTTCTTTGTTATTTTATAAAATGTAGTTAATGTAAATGTCGATTTCGTAACGTGGTGAAATGTCATTAAAAACACATATAATATAACAAGTCCTCAATGCAACACAGGGTGCCCTGGCACCAACTTGGGAACCACTGTTCTGGAGGAGCATGTAAACCCATCTTAAAATCACCAACTCAACATTACAAGCTTTCAACATGGGAAAGGCAAAATCATCTATGGAAGTCATTCATAAAAAGAATAAATATATGAGTGTACAGTGTGATCAGTTGTTCTACGGTATTCCTTCCTCTTTTATTTCACTCTGACACTATCTTTAAGTGCATCCAAGGGGAAATAATTTTCATTATCCTGTGAAGTTTCTCCCTTTCTCCATGTGCTATCTCCTTATGTCTTTTATACAGTTGCTGTTGTTCTGCCTGAAAGGTTTCCTTGCTAACAGCAAAAGTACATAATTCACACTGAAAACGTCAAACTCATTGTCCTTTATCACATAAATACTTACAGATCTCGATCACTTACAGAAATATAGATGGAAATGCTTATAGTAGTAGTATAGACTATTTTTCCTGTTGACAGGAAAGCCTGGTTTTAAAATTACATCTTTACAGAAGCTGTGTGTTCTTATGTAATGAAAAATAAATAAAGCATATATACACATCCACATATATTAAACACTGAACACATGTTTACTTCACATGTGATTATATATGGCTCATTGTGCTGTGATAAGGTCTACATTGAGGTGTTGATTTCCCACAATTTCTTATGCAGTGCTTTAAATGGTCTCATTCCAGAGATTGGTGATGCAGTAAATAGAAAAACAACATTATTCATTTTTCTGCATTTGGTTCAGCCGCAACTCGATATTGAGTTACTTTCCTTTGAGCTTCCATTGCAATTAGACTCCAGAGAAGTTATAGAGAAGATGACTGTTGACTTGAGGCTCTCCTTAAGGTAGTTAAAAGCTATCATGTTAAGATTCTGTGGATCACTTTACTACAGTGTACAGGCAAAAGTGTTTGTAATTGTTTGAAATGACCACACTCAGGATAAGGCAAGACAAAAAGCTTCTGATTTAAATCAGACCCTACAAAGTGGCAAAATAAATCTGTAAATCTACGCAAAATATAACTACTGGCAACTATGGCATGAGCTCCAGGTATGGTACAATGCTAGTTGTGTGTGAAGACGTGTATGAAGAGACCGTTGCTTGAAAACAACAATTGCGATTGCTAAACAGGTTAGCATTGATACTGCTTGCATCAGTCATATCAGAACTGGAGAGCCTTTTTTCATTCAAAGAAGAGCAAAAAATGGCACTGGAGGATTTTCTTGATGGAAAATATGTTTTTTGCTCTTTTCCCGACTGGCTTCGTTATGTGGTTCGTTGATCTGATTGGTAAATGTGATAGATATATCCAATCACCTGACAGATATTTTTTGAAAGTGCCTGCCCTTTTCCAAACAGATTACAATGACGACTTCCAAGATGGTTCTGTGTTCTGTGGCGCAGTCAGGTTAGGGGTTAGCTGTCAGTTGGAAAGCTCTTAAGCTTGGTTGAAAAAAGGACAAGACGTTCACTCAGTTTATTACCATTAGGACTGTTGAGCCTATCTATTCTGCATTTGTAGAGCAGTTTATACTCTGGTCAAATAAGAGTCATGGTGCAACAAGACTAATATGCTACACTCCCTCCATTCTGGACTCTCTGTTCCCTCAAAGTTCAGAACTATCGAGGAAGCATCTCCATGAGCCCATGCACTAGGCGATTCAATTGGAATTAACTATATTATGCTGTTTTATTGCTGACCAACATTGTGGTCTGGAAGTAAGAGAGAAGCAAGGATCATACAAATGGGGATAATGGTGGCTTTTTGGATTTTGTACTTGTTTTCACCCATGAAAAAAAAGTAGAGCTTGAGAGCCCTTCTTACTTTCTCACTTCCATACACGCTATGTAAAAGGGGCAGGAATTGTTGATTTCTAAAAGTCACAGAAATTGCTTCCACTCCATTTCTGATGTTGGAAAGATGGGGGGTATCAGACGTTCTTTAACCATCCAACAAGTACTTTGCTTGAAGCATACGGACGCCTGTAGACCTTTCATGGACTGACTTGTTTGGAGTGTTTGATAGAATAGAGAGAGAGGCTCTGTACTTCTAAGTGTGAAGACACCGAATAAATATAACTCTTGACTTCTCTTTTTTGTTCAACAGAGACATGATGTATTGCTGAATGGGTGACAAACTCCCTGTCACCTCACATACTCTGTGAAGTCCCCCTCCCATCGCATTGTACAGGACAGGGTCCCCCAGCATAGTGGCAGTAATGTACCAGGAGGTGGCCTTCCTGGCAGGCAGCACAGAGCACCAATTCACATCGTTTCGCTTCAACCGAGTGGAGAACCCGCAGGAGGTCACCTCCAAGAAGGGTTTGTTCTACAAGCGAGCCCAGCTCCTACTCCAGCCTCAGCCTCGCCAACAGGATGGAGATGAGATCGGCCTGGCTGACGGGGCGGCCATTATTAATGTGGGGGGGATCAAGTACCGGATCCCCTGGTCCACACTGGAAGAGTTCCCCCTGACACGGCTTGGTAAGCTGCGCAGCTGCAGCAACGAGGCTGAGATCATGGACGTGTGCGACGACTACGACGGCAGCCGCAACGAGTATTTCTTCGACCGAAGTCCTTCAGCTTTCCGCACAATTGTCACTTTCTTAGCGGCGGGGAAGCTGCGGCTGCTGAGGGAGATGTGCGCCCTTTCCTTCCAGGAGGAGCTACTGTACTGGGGGGTGGAGGAGAACAACCTGGATTGGTGCTGCCTCAGGAAGCTGCGGCTCAGGCAGGAAGAGTACAAGGAACAGCAGAGGCTAGAGGAGGAGGATGCAGAGCTCACCTCACCGCAGTCCTGCGAGGAGAGCCAGCAGCCTCCCGGAGTGGGGGCGCAGGAAGAGACCAATACAGGGGGCTGCATGCGAAGACTTAGGGACATGGTAGAGAACCCCCACTCTGGCCTGCCAGGGAAGATCTTCGCCTGTCTGTCAGTGATATTTGTTGCCATCACCGCTGTGACGCTGTGTGTCAGCACCATGCCAGACCTCAGAGAGGAGGAGGAGAGGGTGAGTTTACTCTGCACTAATCAGTTTCAGTAATAACTTTTTTATTTGCCTTTCTTATTCACAGATTCAATTAAAATTTGAATTATCCAAAAGGTCCAAGCTCCTTTCTGACAATTACTGTACTGAAATCATTTTATTCAACAAAAGCAGAAACAGTATCATTCAGCAATCATGGTCAGTCACACAAAACTTCCAAAGCAAGGCATCCCTGAATTTTGAAGGACATCATCACATGCTAAACAGATTTTCATGCTGAACACCATAGTTATGGCATTATACAACTAACATAACCATAAACTGAAGGACCTCCGGTCTCAGGATTCCTTTTCTTCTTACAACAGCCTTAGGGATGTGAATGCTTTACAGCTGCTATAGAATTCAGATTATGTTGATGCAGCAGCCCACATACAGAGTCTTCCTGGGGTTTATTGTAAATCATCATGACAGAGACAGAGGCGAAGGCTCAGGGACAACAAGGCTTCCTCTCCATTCACTTGAATACCAGATTACTGTGTAGCCCCTCACTGTCTCTGCAGCATACATTCCTTCATAGCAACATGAAATCCATGTTCTCCCAAATGTGTGAATACACAACACCAAGATGAGTAAACAGACCATATATTCACAATCTTTAAATGGATAGTCTTTTTGGGTTTTAGGCTTCGGTTCTGTATTTGCAAAATCCCACGGATATTCTCCCCATGCAGCTTTACTTGACCTGTTTTCAAAAATGAATATTAAATAAGCTAAAATTAAAATGAAATAACTCATTATTGTTATATAACATGATGAGTATGCTAATTGTGGCCATGAAGTCTTAATCTGTACAGTCAAAGGCTTGTTTATCCAAACATTATCTAGAACAGCTGACCAGTAAACAAATTGGGAGCTTTAAATAGAAAACACATTGATTTATATTGTGTTTCATGTTCACTTTGATGATTCATTTAAGATGAATTTAAACTTATATGTGGACTCTACATGGCATTTTAGAAAGAGAAAAAATGTATTACTCCTGAAGGGGAAATAGGGGGCAGTTAAACATTTTGGGAAATACAAATATTCTCTTTCTTTCTGAGAATTAATATAAATCTCATGTCTATGCGATAGCGTAGGCATATTTAGCTTAGCATAATGACTGGAAACCAAGCCCCCAGGAATAGCACCACTTTGACATTGTGGCCAAACTGTGTAAGGTTTCAAAGGAAGTTTTGTTCTAAGAACTGTTTCTTGGCAAATCATAGCTGGGTGCAGTGACTGCTCGACTATTTTCAGTGGAAAAGGGCTATAGTCTGCTCATAAAGTCACTTGAAATTGCCATGTGCTAATTTGCATACACATGATGTCATTGTGCCACAATTTGCTTGCCTATGAAAGATTCTGTCATTAGCATCCCATATATATGTATATATATGTATATATATTCATCTAAATCCTCCTCTAAAATTACAAACCTTTTTATGCAGGTTACAGAGCACTGGAATAAACTTACTCTCATAACATAAATAAAATACTAAATGAAATAAATTAAAATTATTTCATCTTGAACAAAAACAATGGAGGAAGAGTTCTGCAGGCAAACAATGGGGATTAATGACTCTTTGTTTGGAAGCATGATATGCACTTTCACAGCTCATTCAGCTTGCTTGGTTTCTCACTTGGCTCTTTTTTGAGGAAAAGTTACAAAAATGTTCTTTGAAAATGGTTATTCTGCAGTTATGCAGTATTTAAAACATTCACAAACCCCACCCCCTCCATGTTAACAACCCAATCAGTAGTGTGCAGACTCTGGTTCCAAATGACCTCACCAGTGCAAGATGGCAGTGCCCATACCTGTGGAATTTTGGCTTCAGTTTGTAAAGTGGGAGGAAGTGGAGATCCATAGTCCTTCTTTGTCAGTATATGGCAGTGGTCCTGACTCCAGCTCTGTACGTAAGGCACAGACATGAGATTGGTATCAATCTATTCAAGTGTATTTCCCAAAATGGTTAACTATTTCTTTAATTACAATACACCCCAAAGAATCTGAATATGATTATAGCAAGTACTGTATTGGCAATTTAAAAAAAAACATGAAGGCTGATGATAAGGTGGAGCCTGTTGTAGAATGTCTAAATAAATGAGAATACTCATAACTTACAGTCTCTGATCTCTAAATAGGTCTGAAAGTGAGAACACATCCACTTGTTGCTGCATTTAGCTTTGATCTTGCAGGAAGAGAAATCTTTCTACCTGGGGCTTTTGTTCCAACTAACTACACATGTTGCCACAGTCTGTGACAAAAGGAGCAAAAGAGCATATTAAAGCTGACAATGTCTTCCTCATGAACCTTTTCATGTCCGCCCTTGCCTCAGAGACTTCAGAAAGCCTTGGTGATCTGGCTCCAAAGCGTCTTTGTATTGCGCTAATTCACCTCTTGAATGACATTAGACCATAGTATGATTAAAGAAGAGCCCCGCAGCTTCTCCCTCTGTCAAAGATACATCTTCATCAGCAGGCTGGGAGGGGGGTGTTAGCATCAAGTGCGTAAGCTTCAAAGGGAGAATCCATCAGGAAAACAAAGTGGGTAAAACTGAACAAAGACCAGCTTTCCTTTTCTATCTCTAATTAAGTGTCATCTATCATTACATGCCTGTATGAATCTGCAGCTTTAATTATTTGAATCGGAAGAGCAACAGGTGTGATTAGAGAGGCACTGTGTTTCAAATTCCGGACAGCTGAAAACAGAGTTGTTGTAGCACTAATTAACCACCCAGAGATGCCTGAAAAAGTGAGTCCTCCTCTGTGAATGAGGAGTTCATTAGGAGCAAGAAATGAACCTGAACCAGCCATTGGAGGCAACCCCAAAAACGCAAGGGTTTATGGGTATAATGAGGTGGCTGTTATTCTTGTAAGACCTATAACCAAGGAAGGCAAACCGCAATCTGGCACTTCTTCATTAAAACAAAAGTGCCATCTGCAGAGTCTGTTAATATGAGGTGACACATTACTACAGAAACATAACTTTGTCTTAAAAGTATTGTGAGTGCACTTTTATTTACAACCTCTGACTAGCTGGCAATAGATCCAAATGCACATAAATTAACTAAATAAATAAATACCACAAAATATTATTCTAAAAAAAGACAATATTCCTACAGATGTCTTTACATGGCCAATGAAAGATAAATATTCCACTAATACTCTTGTTTACATTCAGCTGTGCATACTCCGATTAACTTTACTGTTAATGACGCACTGTACGTCCTATAGATCAATTTCCCTCCTTTTCTTCCCCTTCCCTTCTTTTCAAACTGCAGTCATGTTGCTCCCGTGGTAAATGTAGAACAGCTGGAGCTGCTTGAGCCAATTAGCCTTTTTCATACGTTCAGACACCTTCTTGTAAAGGTTTGCCTTGCAATATTTGCATGTAAAAGTAGACCCTTCTGACCAGAATTGTGGGCTTTTCTTTTGGGGCATGCATCACTACTTCCAGCCTTGCAAACTGTTAGCTAGGCTTTTTCACAAAGCACAGAGCCGACCGTTAACAGGCAACAAGCTGTGTGTAGCAAACTGCAGTAAAAACCCCACATGAGACGCATATTCAAAAATGTTTACATGGCCAAAGAATTCTCCTGAAACTTGAATAACATCGGCATATCCCACATGTCTTAAATGGAAATTGCTCCATTCGGAATAAGGCCTAATTAGGAATATCCAAACGGAATATGGTGTTTACAAGACCCTGGCCATCAAATGTGGAAAATTGTGATATTCTGAATATTAGTGCATACTTAGTGTGCATGTAAACTTCTCTCACAGTGGTTCAAAAAGAACTAAAGGTATGATTGCTCCCTATGATTCCCTACTTATGTGCTCTCAGCAGTCATGGTGTGTACCGAGGTGTCACACTGGCTGTGGAGCGTCTCCTCTCTTCCTTACCATGTTAGGAGAAGAGTTTGGCCTTGCTCTGAAAACGTATGTGCTCTGTGAGTGGGTTTTGCTTCCTGTATTGTCCTCATTCACACTAATGTCAAGCAAAGCATTTCAGTAGCTGAACACTTTCATGAATCCAGCTCAACGTGAATTGCTTTTGCTAATTACCACATCTCTTTCAGTGGAGTCCACCCACTCATCCTCCTCCATTACACTGCTTCCTAATATCCATTAGCTGTGATAGCTAGCCATTTACATCTGCACAGATTCTCACTATGCTAATGAAACTAATGAAATGATCATTTCCTTAGATACCCATTTTGATATTGTAATATATTGTGTATTTGTTATGTAGACTGTTTTTCAGGCTTCAGTTATGGCTCCAGTGTTGGCAGTATAAAGGCAGCAGCCCTCCATCACACACTATAATGCTAAACCTGCCTAAATTTACCTTGACTTGTTACCTTTTAAATGAAACCACTATAGTTGCCATTCTAAAGCTTCTGATTAACTACTGTTACTTTTTAAAAAATGTTTAACTGAATTTTATAATGTTATTATTAACTGAAACCAGCAATAACTCAGTTTTGGCCAGTTTGGGGCAGTGGAAATAAGTTAAAAAAACACTGACACCTTTTAAGTATATATGGCTAACATATTAGTGAACATTTGCTTATTTACACATCCAGCAGATACAAAGCAACACTAACCCTCACTAAATTTTCTGGCCAGATCAAAGGTCAATCAAGTATTCACTCTACTTTTAACTCTGTTGTTTTGGTGATAAGCAACTCCTGGGAAACTCTCTATCTCTTTAGCTGCTCAATGCTCCACTTTGTTCACCAGCTAGTTGCTACTCTGTCTGCTGTTTGGTGCAGGGCAGGTAGTGTACAGTCAGACACTGCAATCTGATTGGCCTCCCCATGTGCTACTCCATTATTCTTACCTCTTCCACTCCGTCTTTCAGAGGGGTCCCTTGACCTCTGACATTAAGATATTTTACTGAAAATGGATTCTATGGGTACCTACAAGTCCCCTCTTCACAGGGATGCCCACTTTATGTCATGCACTTTTTTGGGCAAAAA